TCTAACCCGTGAATGAGGAAGTGGGGACACATCTAGCCATTTGAGACGCTCCCATAAGAATACATGTAGAAAGATCAAGTTTAAGAGGGTTTCCACAGCCATAGTTCCCGCTACCCATTTTTCAAGGAAGTGAACTTGGTCAAGTAGGCGATATAGGTGCCCCAAGAACATGGGGGCTAGAGGAATCGTGCTGCCACGTACTATAGACAGGGCCAAAGGGAACACCTGCTCATGCAAACAGTCTTGAGAAAAATCACAGAAAATGAACCTCCCAAGCCATAATGATATGAGTGCGGCAAGACGACACATGTCATCTCTGTTGGCATCCCCGAAATACTGTATCCAATTGCTAAACTGAAGAGAAGTGCTAGGAGCGATCGGGGCACCCTTCCATAAAATCTCAAGCTTCCCTCTGTCATCTGGAGTCAGTGCAACATTGAAGGGATCTTGGCTTCTGCAAATCGGGAGGAAAATGTTAGCCACATCCTCAAGCGTGGGGGTAAACTCCCCCCACGAACAAATGAAAGTGTGCGTCTCAGTGCTCCATCGCCTAACCACGTGATGAAGTATTTTGACTTCAATGTGGATGTCACATGCCTTGGAGAGGAAGATGGCATCCAACACCTCTGTCCGGCGTAGGATGCCGCAAGTAGGTGGGTTCGTTAGTTCACAGTTAACCCACTCTGACCAACCCTTGCTAATGACAAAGCTTGGCAAGTGACGGAAACCTGTGAAGAAAAAAGAAACAAGGGTTTAGGAAAACACCTGTCAACTCCCAAATACCCGCAAGGAAATGACCAAGCAGAGGCATCCAACAAGATCATGTTGGACTGCCTAAAAAAGAACTAGAAGGCACAAAAGGAAAATGAGTTGACGAGCAACTAGGAGTCCAATGGGCCTATCACACAACCAAAAGGAGATCGACCGGCGAGACACCATTTTCCATGGCATATGGGACATAAGCAATCATCCCCCCGCACATCATAGTCCCTTCCATGAGCATTGAGGTGGGCAGTCTTGACCAAAACTGCAAGCAAGCATATGAAAGTCAACATTGATCTGCTCGAAGAAGAACGAGAGAAGGTCATTGTTCGAATTGCAATATACCAGCAGTACTAGCATCTTACTACAACAAGAAAGCCATTGTTCAAGTTGCAACTTACTAGCTCAACTCCAAGTAAGCGACGAGCCTCCTTTACGTCTATTAAAGACAAGTTACTTCCGAGTACAAGCTCAATGGAGTCTTTTTCGAGTGCTATGTCCCCGACATACACATACAAGCGACAAGTCTTACCTCTATTGAAGGTAAGCAACTTTCGAGTACAAACTCAATGAAGTTTTTTTCAAGCGTTATGTCCCCGACATGCGCATATGGGCGACGAGCCTTACCTCCATTGAAGGCAAGCAACTTCCGAGTACAAACTCAATGGAGTCTTTTTCGAGCATTATGTTCCAGACATACGCATGTAGGCAACGAGCCTTACCTCCATTGACAGCAAGCTACTTCCGAGTACAAACTCAATAGAGTCTTTTTCGAGCGCTATGTCCCCGACATACGCATGCAGGGGATGAGCCTTACCTCCATTGAAGGCAAGCTACTTCAGGGTACAAACTCAATCGAGGCTTTTTCGAGCGTCATGTCTCCAGATCCTAGGTCAAATAATTTAGCCAATCAATTTAAGAATTATTTGACCAAATTGGGAATTATTTGATTCTTACCCTAATTGGGGATTTGATTAAATCAAATCCATAATTAAATCAATCTCTCCAAATTAGGGAAGAATAATTCTTTTCCATATGTGGAATTATTCTTCTGAAACCCTAGCCTCTGAGGCTCCTATAAATACATGGTTACACCAAGAGTTGAGGTACGTCTAAACTTTTGTATGAAACTCTGCAGAAATCCTTTCTCGCAAACCCTAGCCGCCATACTCTTTCTCTCTCTCATACAAGGCTCCAACCACCACACACGGCTTCGGTCACCCGGTTCTCACTCTAGAGAAATCTCCGTACCCTTTGTTAGCTATTGTTTTTCCTACAAACATTCGACCTAACTTAGGCATTGGAGGGCCTTTGGCCAACACCTCCGGGTGTGGTCTTTTACTTCGTATTGTTTTGCAGGGAGAAAGAGAAGCGAAGAGGAAGACAGAATCTTTAGACGAATATTCTTTGGGGACGAAAATCGCTCCCACAATATCCTTGGCCTAAGCTTCCCAAAAACAAGATTTTGATCTAAATTTTGAACACCCAAACCCAAAAGTTTATCAACACACCCAAAATCTGAAAATCTTGATTTCAAAATTCTTCTTTTGATTTTCTTATGCCTTAAAAGGTTCATAAATCATTTTCCAACTCAAATACAACTATAAATCTACTCAAACAATTAATTATACAAAAACTCAAGAATTGAAAATGAACTTAGAATAAGAATCCCACCTTTCATCCTTCCAATTGCTTCAACACTTAACCATTTTCTTTTCTACCTCTCACATTTCTTTCTTATTTCTCTCATGGATGTAATAGTAATAACCTCCATCTCCCTTATTTACAAGTCTTCTCCTTTCTTCTTCTTCTTCTTCTTCTCTCTCTCTCTCTCTCTCTCTCTCTCTCTCTCTCTCTCTCTCTCTCTCATTTATTTCTCCCTCCCTCCAACAACTCACCTCCCTTAGCTCTAAAAAAAATTCAGCTTCTTTAAGGAAGATACCTTAGGTTAGGTGACTCATAACTTTAGGCTAGGTGACTCACCACTTTAGACTAGGTTACTCATCCTTTCATAATGGTGGATTTGAAAGCTTGAGGCAAGGGGGGAAGAATGGGACGAGGGTAGGCTGATGCCCTCCATGTTTTAGATTCTCTTTTGTTTTTGTTTTGTTTTTTTGCCTACAAGGGTATTTTGGTAATTTTCACACATAGGGGTATTTTGGTTATTTTGGCCCCAAATTCAGAAACGATTTCCTATGTGTTCGTTGAGTCGACTACTATCATCTCACTTCAATGTCTTAAATGTCCTTTGAAAAATTCACCAAATGTTACATAAGGGCATTTTTGTCCAATTTGAAATTAAACACAATTCAATAGTCTCAATCCAAAATCACTTGATAAAATACCCATAATCATTCTTTATCATAATATTATTTTTCATTGAAATATGAAAATCCACTTTGAATTTTTCGGAGTATTACATCATGATAGGCAAGTAAAGAGATGGTCCTAATTTATTATGTCATAAGCTATTTTCATATCAAATTTAATTACCATTCGAGGCTGTTTAAAGTTTTCAGGGGAAAAGTTGAAAGAATTTCATGTCCAATAAGAATATTGTAAAAAAATTAAACAATTGGGCACAAAAGCAGCCTGATTTTGGGAAATACAATAGTGCAACACTGACCTTATTCTATTAAGAAGTATTTTAGAAATAATTTTATAAGAAAAATTATAGAGACTAATAGGTCTATAATGTGTTGTTTTTTCAGCCGGCATGGTTTTAGGAATGAGAGTTATATAAGTATAACTTATCTCTTGTATAGACATATTTGAGTATAATGCCTTAACCATTGCATAAATATTATCCTTAACAATCTTCCAATTTTTCTTTAAAAAAAAGAGTATGGACACCATAAGGTCTTAGTGCCTTAATGCTGCTAATTTGTTTAATAGCTAAATCAATTTCAGAAGAAGTAAAATGAGCTACAAGAGCTAAAGCATGTGCTTCTGAGATACAATGTTGTATATAATCATGGAAACAATTTAATTTGTTGGAATCTATATGATGATCAATATTAAAAGGTTGTTGATAAATTAGTTTAGTTTGTTTATTGAGCTATTTATACTAAGACCCCTAAGGTTTCAGTTTGTTTTCACAAAACCCTTTTTTGTTGATTGTTCGTTCAAAATTTGATGATTTCATTGAAAAAAGTATATATATGCAAATGACAAAATTAACCTCAATGAAGTATATGCAATATAATCTCGGGGGCCAACTTTGTCATTTGGAGAATTGTTTTGTATGCAATCATCAATATTTGGATGAAAAACCAATGAAAGGGGGTTTTGTGAAAATAATTTAAAACCTCAGGGAGTGTTCGTGTAATTTCTAAAACCTCAGAGGATTTGGTGAAAAAGCCGAAAACCTTAGGGGGTGTTAGTGTAAATAACTCTAGTTTATTTAGTTTTTAAATATTAGTTTAGTTTATTGTTTTAGTTAGTTTAAATTAGTTTTTTTTATTTATTAAAAAAAATACATTACAAATGAAATTCCCATGGAATCTTAGTTCCGTACATATCAAAGTAAAATATAACAATTACATTTCACAAGAAAATTTCTAAACCAAATAAAAGAGTTTTTACACCCATACCCTTTCTTAGCTAATTGATCAGCAACCTGTTTGGGCCTGCTTTTTACATATTCAATTTTTAAGGTTTGGGGCAAGTCTATGGCTTGGACTTTAATATTAATTGGATATCTGATCCAGTAAAATGGCTAATATAAGGAAATTATTATTTAATTGATAATTGCCTAAATTAAGTGGATATTCTCGGCAATTACTTGGTGGCGAAGACAATCAATTAGATAGTTGATTCTAATTGATTGTGATCTGATTTTGACTGTGACCTAATAGAAGATTACTTTTTCTATGCAAGGGTTACACCCATATAAAAAGAGAGGATACTTTCACTGCAAAACACACAACTTTTTTCAGCAACAAACTCAATACAAAAATCCTATCTCTTTTTTTTTTTTTTTTTGGTAAAAAAAAATCCTATCTCTTTCATAAAAGGAGATGCCCTAAGTTGAGGACTAGGCCCAGGGCTGACTTGTTGAAGAGACATTCATGCTTCTTCTTTTGAACATAGTTAAATCTCTTAATTAAAATTGCGGTTTTGTTTCTGATTTTCACGTTTGTGGATTCACCATTTTTGTTATGAGAAATAAAATTTTAAAAAGCGAAATTTACCCCCTTTGTAAAAGACTTGTTAAATAAAAATATGAGCTAATTGTGAGCTAATTGGGTTTCTGGGTTTTACTAGCATTTTCACCGAATATTCAAAATTTAAAAACTCAAAGATCCCAACTTTCCTCGGAAACAAACAAGAATGGCAGCAGTTTCACCGTCTCTCAGCTTATTCTCAAGAACCCCTGAACCCTCTGTTCGGAAAATGTCAATCCTGAGTAAGTTCCACAGTGTCGCTTCCAGAACCCACTGCAATTTCAACGCCATTTTCAAACCATCCACTCTAACCCTCTTCATCTCCACCCAAAGACCCCATGCACATATCAAATCTCCACCTCGAAACACAATCCGATGCCTGTTCACTGGAATTGTCGAGGAAATGGGTCAAATCAAGCAACTGGGTACCGCTGAAAACGGTGGTTTCGACATGAAAATCGGCGCCAAAACCGTCCTCGAGGGCGTCCACCTCGGCGATAGCATTGCCGTCAACGGGACGTGCCTCACGGTGACTGAATTCGACACCCAATTGTCCGATTTCACCGTCGGTTTGTCGCCCGAGACGCTTAGGAAGACGTCTCTGATCGAGCTCGAACCGGGGTCACTTGTGAATCTGGAGCGGGCGGTCCAGCCCACGAGTCGAATGGGTGGGCACTTTGTGCAGGGTCATGTGGATGGCACAGGGGAGATAGTGTCAATGGAGCCTGAGGGGGATTCTCTATGGATCAAGGTGAAGGCATCAAAGGAGCTGTTGAAGTATGTGGTGCCGAAAGGGTTTATAGCAGTGGATGGGACTAGTTTGACTGTGGTGGATGTGTTTGATAAAGAAGACAGCTTTAATTTCATGTTGGTGGCTTATACTCAGCAGAACGTGGTGATTCCTTTGAAGAAGGTTGGGCAAAAGGTGAATTTGGAAGTTGATATACTCGGCAAATATGTGGAGAGGCTTCTCAGCAGTGGATTTGTTGAGTCAATCAAATCTTCATGACCCTTAAGGTACTCAATTTATAGGTAATTTGTTTCTTTTCTGCTATCCTGATTTGAGCCCATGTATTATTACCTCTTGTAATGCATGCCTTTTCTTGTCTTTTAATGTTTAAATTAAACAATAATTGTTTGCGATATGCAGATTTGTGTGGTTTTCTGTTATTGTGATTGATTTTTAGTTCTGTTTTTAGTAAGCAGCTGTGAGTTTCTTTGGGCATGTCCTTTTCTATCAAGTAAAGAATACTAGAGTTGCAGGAATGATGTGTGTATTGAGTAGGATGATCCTTAGAGAGAACTTTGAAGGGGTGACCTGATGCTTGAAAACAGGAGCGTCTAAATGTGGTGTTCTGGTATGGAACTGATCATGGTGAAATGGATTGATAGCTTACCCTAAGCAGTGACTGTCATAGTTTTCTGAGTAGAGTTTGATTGAAGGATTTTCTGAGTTAGTTAACTTGATCTTTAGTAAGTTAGATACTTAAGGCTTGACTCAAAGAACAAAAACAAACGAAAGCAAATAAGAAAAACAGAACAAAATAATCTTGTTTTATCTCAATTACAGTTAATGTTTATACGAATCAGATAATGAATGGCCTACCTTTAAAAAATCAGAGATTTTCTTGCCGCTTGATATAGTTTCTAAATGCGCAATCATCATGTTGAACATGTTATTGTAGAAACTCGAATGGAATTTTGTTTATTCTTTCTTGTGCTTAGCTAATAAGTGAAAATTATGAATGCATTAGATTACCAAGTTTCTCAGTTTCTGCCAAATCCAGTCAATGGTTTATCAAGTGACATGTAAAAATGAAATTTTTTGCACTCATATGAACTTGGGAGAAAGAAAAAAGAAAAAAATATGCAGCAAGTAATTTCTATTACAAAGATCTAGGGGTATTAACTGTCTTTCAACGAATTAATCATAAAGAGTCTTTATTTGAGCAATATAAAGTTCTCTGATGCTGTCAAGTTTCTTACTGTTCTTTTTCTCATTTTCTTTGCAAGGTCATCACTGGTGCAGTTTTGTACACTACCACACTTGTTGTTTGGATAGTAACTGTCATGACTGGCGACTCTAAGAGAGCTGTTTAGTTTTTTGTTGTATGATAGTTAGAGCTTTATTGTATTGGCTTTTCTGTACACCTTCTCTATAAGGACTTAATGGTTTTGGTTTTATAAAAGGTCCACATTCAATAAAAGTTCAGCATTTGATTCATGTAAAAATGTGTCGTTTCTGAAGATAAAAAAGAAATAAATTTGGCATTTGGTTGTAACCACCATATTGCGAAGGACTACTTCAGCAACAGACTCTAGCTGAAATCTTTGTTTTGCAGACTAATTCAGCAATAACACACACTTACACATGCACGTGTGCGCCCGCAAACAGATGTTTATGGCTCCCCTGTTTACACACGCACGCACACAGAGTGTAACCCTCCTCAAGTATCTTTGCCCCTAAAATGTACTTTAAGAAAACCATTCTGCATTGGCTCTGATGAAGATTCCTTTACTATTCTTCTCACTATGGTTAACTGAGCTATGTTTATTATGAGTGATTAATAGTTTCAGTCAATTCCTTCTCTGCACCAGAATGTCTTATACTTTGTGTTGATTCGTGCTTTTATGATATTCGAGCTCCCTTTCTTATATTGCTGCCTGCTTTGCATTTTTCTGTGTTAAATCTTTTTCCATAACCCTTTTGATGTACACATTAGCACTCTCATTTTCCTGATGTAGAAATCTAAGTATATTACTATTTACCCAAAGAAACAAAAAGGTTAAATAGATTATTCCTTAATTTCCTATTTATAATTGGAGAACAAATCTTGCGGTTCCATGCCATTGAAAGCTTGCATCTGTTTGTTGGAAGCTCAATGGGCAATTTAGCTCACCTCTCTGTTAAAAGTCTAGGGCTGAGGTTAGTTTCTCACTTTCTTAATCTATCTAGTTTTCAGGCACATTCTTTTTACACACTGATAATACCCACCTTAGGCTAGGGCTTGGCTCCATGGGCCAGTAAATCTCAACTCTCAAAGCCAATCCAAAGGCATATGGGTTGGTTTGTAGGCGAGTTTCGTGAACCTCCTAATCAAGTACTAATTATGTTGAATGTATTAATTTTGGTGCAAGTAATGATATTAATTGTGTTGCCAGAACCATTAAATTAACCAGAGAAAATCTATTGGTTTAGGTTAGATAAATTTAGCCTCAAATAAATTATTTGTTTTATTTTATGAAGTCCAGTTCTACCCCCTGTTGGACAATTTCAATTTTGGTGTACCAGTAATGGTTCTTTTATGATCCTTTTGACTGTTTTTAGATGTCTTTCGGTGTAGAAAAACTTGTGTGAAACGGGGATAGCACTGTTTTGTTATTTTTGGCCAATCACGATACCAAGTGAAAAAGTTATCACTCATGGCATACCATAATTGGCCAGGAAAGCAAAACATTGATATTCCCATTCCACACAAGTGTTTCTCCATTCAGTGGGATTAGCATGATATTGGGCATCCAATTAGGCTTCATTACAACTTTACTAGTGATGTGATCTACAATGTTATCAACATAATCATGTCCTTGTAGACACAGTTTGCTCAACATCAATTGCCAGGCACAATTTGAACAATTTGTTTTATGGGAGTGTTTAGGAATATGTATACTCTGAGGTCCCACTGGGCATGCCAAATTGTTACTTCAACTACTCCATTTGCACAATTTGCCAAAACCAACCACTCAATTTGCACAATCCAGTGTTTTTAGAGCAGAATTGATAAGAAAACGCCAGCACAACCTACCCTTCTTTTGTAAAATAAAAACTCTATGTTATCTTCTTCCTTTAACAGTAGGTCTTCTACCATCCAACTACTTGGATAAACAACTCTGCTCCCTTCTCTTCTCCTTACTGTATTGTTTGTTAGCTATATGGCTTTTTTGGGTCGGGCTGCTTTTCGGCTTGACTTGCTGTTATTTTAGATAAAGAAAAAAACAGCTTTTCATACGTCTCCATCTGAACCGAAAGGTAAGACATTGACAAGTTCATCGTGCCTTCACCACCGAAATTTGCTTCTGATACTATAAAATAAACGTCAAGTACAAAAAGCCCCCCCACCCAATAGATAGACACAAGTTATTCGTGGCTATATATAAAAACCCTATTTACTGACTGATCCAATTCTACTTAACCACGGATCTCGTGTCTACTCAATTAATAGTAATTGGTTGGTAAGGGGTTTTTATCATTAGACCATTTGTTTACAAATGAGGTGTATCGTATATTTCAATATCTTACCTGTTAAGAATAAATACTATCTCACTTAGAAGAAGTATGAATCGAACCTAGGTCAACGTGATCTAGCTCAGACTAAAACGACTTTAACTTGCAAATCAGTGGTCTTAGATTCGAAAACCCATGAAATCTTGGTAGTGTGTGAGAGAGAAAACTCTCCTTCTCTTTTATATGGACATGATTTTAACCACTTGAGTTACGAACCCTTTATACGGACATGATTTTTCGATTAAAAAATATCTTAGAGGATCGCATGCTTTCTTCCTTCCATTTATTTTATTATTATTATTTTGTTTTTCTTTGCTTCCTTTGGGTGTCTAGGAGGATCAATCATCATCATGACGACCCCAAAAAAAAAAACATTGAGGATCAATGATGTGTCGTGTCCGACAAAAGTACACCAACAACGTGAAGATGCAGCCGCCCAACAAAACTGAAAAACATTTAAAAGAGAGAATGCGCGTGCTGCTTGAGCTTTGGAGAGTAGACTGATTTGGCATGGCATTCTCGATCTCAACCATGTATAATAATTTGACTCCATATTTAGTGGATCTCTCTAGTATCCATAATGTCGGCAAGGATAGGGACTTTATTTTTGATTCCCTGTAGGCTGAATCATGTATGGTATGAATAATTTATCAATCTCATCTCTCTGTTTAGAATTTTAAAATAATTCAATATGATTTAGGATTTTACGGGTTTCTACATGTCGAATATATCAGTTTATTTGAGCTGTTTTGATCATTCTGATTTGAATTCTTACATATAAGGAGTCAAGTATTTTTCAGATTTTGAATTCTGGATACAAAATTTGCTAGATTAACTGTTTCAATTTTCAAAAACCAACATGAGGTTAGGATATTAAGAAATTTAATTTCTGGATTTTACTAATTGTAGGCTGCTTCTTGTGAGAATGTGAAGGTAAAAAGTCCCATATTAGAAAGTTGAGAAACCTAGCAAGGCTTATAAGGAGTTGGGTTACTCCCCCCATAGTCAATTGGTTTTGGGGTGGAACCTCAACTTCCTTCATGGTATCAGAGCAGGTTAGCCCACGTGTGAAAGCCCAACGGCCACACGTGCTCCACGTCACCCAATATGTGTTGTCTACGTGCTAGGCTTGAAAATTCATCACATGTGCAGGGGCGTGTGATAATGTGAAGGTAAAGAGTCTCATATTGGAAAGTTGAGAAACCTAACAAGGGCCTATAAGGAGTTAGGTTACTCCCCCCACAGCCAATTGGTTTTGGGGTGGAACCTCAACTTCCTTCACTTCTATGCAATAAATTGGATTATTATTCTTCTAGATTTCAAGGGATGATAGATAAAACGAAAATGTTATTGGGGTACATTGAAACAATGACATCCTATAAAATCTTTCAGTTGTTGCTATGCAGATAAATGTCTAACCAAATATACTCTATCAATGAAGACCTTTCAAAAGGAGATAGTTGCGTTCATAGAACAACTTATAAACACCGAGTTTCACACTCTATGTAGTAATTTATCTCCATCTTCTGAAATGAGCTTTGTATTGACATTCTTAACAAGTCATTTTTATAGCAAACGTTACCTAGCGAAAAATGTTATGTCCAAATCTAATATAACAACTTCCATAAATAGCACTTCAGCTCTTCAGCTTAGAGGACATCGCCTACGAAGCTCTTCGCCTGATGCTTTAATACATGTTATGCATAGTGTGTCTTGGTTAAATTGCATCCTGGTTCTGCAACATTGGACATCGCCTATGGAAGTATTTTGTTCCATCATAAATTTTGATACACCATTGATGACCCCACTTTGGTATCCTGATGGTGAAATTTCTTTAGATAATACTTGTGTGAGTAACATATTTAAATTATTCTCGTAAAGCCTATTGGCTGGAAATTCTAGCTGATTGAAACATTTGTACCCCAAAAAACGAGCTCCAAAAATCTCACGAAGAAAAATAGAGAATGATAAGAGACTTAAAATGAGTAATGATTTTGGGTACAACATATTGAATATAAGTGAACTTGGATTCCATTTAATTCTTAAAAATGTTATATGTATATGTATTTTGTTTGTACCATATCTGACCCTCCACTCGTGCAACGACACGTGGATCTCATAAACTCGCCCAAGTACCCAAGGCCTCGGACAATCGGCATCGGCCACCGATGGCATTGCCTCAAAGCCACGAACAGCCGCTGCAGGCCCAACACAGCCTACAATCGGTATTCCATACCGATTCTACAGAATCAGCCTCGAAGCACCCGCCAGAAATATCTAAATACTCGTGTCAACCTCCTAGGGCCCTCCCACGAGTCCCACATCGGAAATGAGTACTAAGAGCATACTAAATGCCCTCTATAAATAGGCCACTCCATTACAATACAGGGGTAAGACTTTTCAGCTTGACTTTTATACTTCTATATGGTCAACAGCAAGAGCTCTTAAAACAACAAACTTACTTCAGCATCGGATGGTCTTAGGCTGGTTCCACACCGGTTCCATAGACCTCACGAGCTTCGCTTATCTTCTATTCAGGATCAGCATCCAAGGACAGGAAGAATCGGCATCCAATATTCAATCGATCTCTCGATCGTCCATCCCATTTGTAAGTTGCACTCATCTCTATCTGTTCAAGATTTAGCGTCAACACCCCTTATACATCAAATTGGTCTATGTTGTGAGGTTCCTTTATGTATTGAGTTAAAATGTTGACGTGGCACATATGTAGGATACCAACTTGTGTACCAACTCTCTAATAGAGCGTGGGACCCATTGTATTGGTGGGCTCCACCTCTATTAGAGAGTTGGTACACAAGTTGGTATCTAAAGTTGGTCTATATATATTGTATAATAGATTTAATAGCAGTAATGTGTGTATATAATATATATTATAAAAAATTAGAAGCTCTTTTTAGTTTTTGGCATATGCAACTTCTTTT